ATGAGTTTCCGGACAAAATATTCATGTCAAAATGTGTTACCAAATTTGATGAAAGCAGTTGAGTACCAAGGCCCCAATGTACTTAAGGCCCACATGTATATTAAATTACTTGTTTCAGAATCAGAAAGATTGTTTTTTTTTCCAATAGCAATACTTTCCCGACAAATATTTATTCAGGAACACATGCTAGCAATAACAGACAATCAACGATGATGCATTTTCCAAATTTCACCATAGAATGTATGAGTTGTGTGACTTCCAAGTTCCATTGATCAGGAATTTGAAGAGACAGCACTGAAGCCAATGTCTGAAATCAGGAAATAAATTAAATAACATAAATTTAGACAACTGAGTCTGTTAATTTATGAGCTGAAAAAAAGGAACAGACCATTTACAAGGTCATAATACATGAAAATTGAATGGCTACTGTTGTGAAAAACAGTTCAACAGTTAAAAAAAACACAACAGCAACAAGCAACATTTAAAAAAGCCAGAGAATAATTTATTTTAGGGCTATTCTTCTAGATGGAGGATATAAGGAGGAATAAGAGGACATCCCTTCCTTTTTCTGGACATCTGATAACTCCAATCATTGCATCACTGCCATGTTCTATGATAAGGAGTCATGTTTGTCCTCCATGCTCTGATTTATTTTATTTATTTATTTAATTTGTTTGTCAAACATGTACACGATAACGAATAGAGGTCTGAACATAAACATGAACGAAGGAAGTGAATATAGATAAATGGGGACAGTAAGACAGGGATGGTAGGCACACTGGTGCACTTGTGCACACCCCCTTTAAGGACCTCTTAGGAATGGGGTGAGGTCCATGGTAGACAGTTTGAGGTTGAAGCTGTGAGGGGTTGAGGCTGTAACAACGGAGTCAGGTAGAGCATTCCAGGCATCGACCACTCTGTTGCTAAAATCATATTTTCTCCAATCGAATTTGTTTTGCATCAATTGTTTGCCCGTGTATTATTGTGGTTGAAGCTGAAGAAGTCGTTGACAGGCAAGATGTTGTAGCAGACAATTTTGTATACTATATGCTTAGATCAGACCACAGGCGGCGCAGTTCCAGATTGTCCAAGCCCAACATTTGAAGCCTGGAGGCATAGGGAATTCTATTGTGAGTAGAGGAGTGGAGTAATTTTCTCAAGAAATACTTCTGAACCCACTCAATTGTGTTAATGTTCGATATACAGTGTGATCTGGAGCCCTGACTAGGAGTTTCTGTGGACAGTACAAGTAAACCTCGACGTAACAACAGTTCACTGAAAAATGTGACTTAGGACTGTTTTTCAAAGTTATGACCATTGCAGCCATCCCCATGGTCATGTGATCAAAATTCAGAAGCTTAGCAACTGGTTCATATTTATGATCGGTGCCATGTCCCCAGGGAAAGTCCCCAGGGAAAGTCAACGGGGAAGCCAGATTCACTTAACAACCGGGTGACTAACTTATCAACTGCAGTTATTCACTTAACAACTGTGGCAAGAAAGATTGTAAAACGGGCAAAACTCAACAAATTATCTTGCTTAACAACAGAAATTTGGGGCTCATCTGTGGTTATAAGCCGAGGACTACCTGTATTTGTAAATCCTGCCAGCTGTCCTTTGCAGGGTTTCAGAATTAATGCAGAATCCACAAAGACTGAAATAAAAATCTCAATCAAGGGGGTAACAAAGCAGAGACATTTCCACCAAGCTGAATAAAATCCTGTTGGAGAAGATGTGAAATGTTTTTGGCAGGTTTAACTCCTTGTGACAAATCCCTGGTCAGACTTTAGGATCAGGGATAGGAAGCGAGAGAGAAGCAGCCTGCCATTGTTTTTAAAGAAAAAAATGTCCCTCCCTTTCCTTCCAGTGTGACATTTCCTCACACCCCAAGCAAATTGCAGAAGTGGAAACCTTGATGATCACAATGGGAAGAAAATGTTAAAGCCCTTTAACATGCATTCAGCCATTCTAACCTGAATCAAGCCGTATGTGTCTGCTGTTTATTCTGTTTGGGGAGAGAACATCTCTTTGAAGTGATGGGCAAGGGATAAAGCACAGTTCTTCCTGCTGTCCAGGTTCTGTTCTTCGTGATTCACTTTCCCTTGAAACTTTCCTTGACTGGAGAAAAAAGCTGTTTTTTTTTCACAAAGGGAGACGTTGTTTAGGAACAAGGTTATGGGGAGCCATTTACACTGAATTATTCCAGTGGGTTATTGAAAAGTGGGTGGAAGCAAAGATTTAGCAGCTTTCCAGATAGGCAATGTGCAGATGAAGAAAGAAGCATCAGGTGATTGGCTGGAAGTGCAAGGATGTAGAGAGCAAGGTCATTCGCAGCTGAAGGTAAAACTCAGGTAAAACTCTTGAGCGCAAAAGAATCTCTAGATTTGTCTCTGGTTGAAGACTTTGTCAAGAAGAAATCTAGAATAGAATAGAATAGAAGGGAACTTGGAGGTCTTCTAGTCCAACCCCCTGCTTAGGCAAAAAACCACACCACTTCAGACAAATGGTTATCCAATCCCTTCTTAAAACTTCCAGTGTTGGAGTATTCACAACTTCTGGAGACTTGGTAATTTGCAGGAAAACTAGAGAATTCAGTAAATATCTACTTTCTGACTCATCATCATCATAAAAAAAGGAGTGCCAATCTTGAATTTCATGTCTTGCAGAGGAATGAGCAGATTTATTAGAATCCCTGTAGAACAGAATTTCTAAAATGCTGGCTATTTAACACTCTTAAATAAAGTAGAGGAATGAGCCTATACCACGGATCTATCTGGAGTGAAGAGCATATCTCAAAAGCCCCCCTAAAAGCAAGCAAAAAATTCAGATCAGGTATGACAGGAAATTAATTCCACATTCACACCCTTCTCGTGAAACATTACAAAAAGATGAAGCTTTTGAATGGGGTCTCTCCAGTGATGGCACCTGGGCAACCTTTGGTATTTACCAGTGTGAAGGGCTGGCAATGGAGTGCCATAAGGGCTGGTGCCCTCTTGAGATGCATACAAAAACATTCTCAGTGCCGCATGGTAATCAGCTTTCAAATATTCTATTTTATTAATATGCATGGCTTGGATAACTAGATAGAATTAAACATGCTGACTGAAAGAGCTTGTGGAAAGAAATGATAAATATTATAAATTTAGATAAGCAAGCAGATCCAGATCCAGCATGGCATATTTGCCATTTTCCAAGGCACCCAATGAAAATGTTCACTTCCCTTGATTCTAGGTTTATTGATTGTTTTGCTAAGAACCTCTGATACCCAACAGGTTGCAGCTTGTTTTGTCTGGTGCAGTTTGGATCGGAAGATAATAATGCTTAGTTCCTATTTCACCAAAGACCTCCATATGGCTTATAGTTCATTGAAAGCTCAACATCAGTGGTGGGATACAAAAATGTTTACTAGTGGGTGTGGCTTGGCAGGCATGGTGTGGCTTGGTGGGCATGGCAGGGGAAGAATACTGCAAAATCCCATTCCCTCCCCACCCCACTAACCTGCTTTCCAGCTCCATTCTCCTGTGCAGGGAAACGAAAGAAGACCCAGCCAATCAGCTGGGACTCAGGAGGCAGAGAATAGATGGGGTTGGTGGGGCCAGTCAGAGCTGGTACTTGCTGGTTCTCTGAACTACTCAAAATTTCTGCTACTGGTTCTCCAGAACTGGTCAGAACCTGCTGAATACCACCTCTACTCAACACTATAACAGAGGCTTGAAACTCAGGAATGGCTGACATAACCACATTACTCCACAAATTATTTACTGAAATATGTGTAATCATTTCCTAAAGCATCTTGGCACAAGATACAATAAAAATAAAATAAAGCAATGATCTGTTTTTGCAACCAAGAGCTTTGGTTGAATTTACTTGGTATAGAAATTGAAATCAGTGATGAAAGCCAATTCAAGCTCTTGGCCGGAGAACCTTAATATGTCTGGGTCCAAACAAAAAACAAAAAAACCCAAAATTCCTGACTTGTATCTCCAGATAACATGGTGCTCCCATCTTCTCTTGGCAGATCTTAAATCTTGGGAAGAAGTGCAGCCACTGAGGTTCCATTCAAGGCTTTGAAGGCCGTCACTGATATTTTGTGTCAGACTAAAAGCATATTGGTGGCTGGTACAGTTTCTTTAAATCTTTGAGCCAGCAATATGGAAATTGAAATAAGGTTTCACACTGTTTCTTTTGTATTTTATTGCTGACCTTGATAGCTTCAGTTTGTTCCTCCATTCAAGTCTCCCTTTTAATGCAGGATCAGTGAGTTTGTGTAGTTTCAGTGCTAAAGGCTGATCCTATTCAAATGTTCTATCCTTTTTCAAAAGTTAATAATGTGTTGAAACTTGTCCTTCTGTTTCCTAAACACTTCTCTCTCTTTAAAAGAATATATATATATATGTTTTCTGAGGTTCTCGCGGGTATTTATATGTGGATCTTTGGTTGTTCGGGTTTTCTCCCGCGTAAGATTCGAAGTATTTAGGCAACGTTTCGATGAAGTCTCATTCATCATCTTCAGGCTTCTGT